GGCAAGTATTGAATTGCATCAAGGTCTATACTTGCTCAAGAAGAGAAATTCTCTTACACATAAATATTTTCTCCACCATTGTCTACTCATATTCCTGAGTCTGTTGTGCCTATCTGTTAAAAGTCAAGTTTTATTATGGGATTGCCATGTGGGTCATCTCATTTTTTATTATATTACAAAGTAATATCACATCACCTTATTAACAAAAAGCTAGAGTTTTAACAGTGTAAAACATATCAATTGGCTATTCTCGTCATGTATATCATCTCTTTCAGTACAAACCCTTCCATCCTTTTTTTATCATCCACGATGACATTTGAGGACCATCAAAATTAAAAATCATCAATGGAGCTAGATGGTTTGTCTCCTTCAATGATTATCGCACAAGAATCAATTGGATATTTCTCATGAACTTTCAGTCCTTTGATGACATGATTTTCAATCAATTTTAATGAAAAATTAAAATTATCAAAATTAAAAATGCAAAAGAATACTTCAACTAGATCATTAGAACCTACCTTACAAAGAACGATATTATTCATGTGATTTCCTATGTTGAGATTTCACAACATGGGATAGCTGAGAGGATGAATATACATCTCCTCAAGGTATCTAGGTCTATAAAACTCTCATACTGTCCCAAAACCTTTTTGTGGAGATGCAGTACTCACGGCCACCAACCTCCTTAATAGAATGTCTAGCGAGGTCGTTGGATACAAAGCTCCTCTCCATATTTAAATGAAAGAATACCCTCATGTTAGAGCATTCTCATCCAATATTACATTAAAAATATTTGGACATCTCATTTGTTTACATTCACCGCCCATACCACACAATATTTGACCCAAAAGTTCTTTTCAAGATGGAAGGGTTCAATTAGGTAGGCATTAGTGTCACTTGGGATTGAATACTATTCAGTGCTAGTGGAGAGGGTTAGCTAGGTGGAAATTAATGGTAAAAATCATAAGTAGAGAAGAATTGATATTTGGTTTAAAACAAGGTGTAGACACAGTGAAGAAAAAGATTTAAGGTAATTAAAATTAAAGTTTTAAGTTTATTAATTTAAATTTTGATGTCAATATTAATAATTAATATGATCTAATACAATAATTAACATTAATATTAGATCATATTAATTATTAGCATGAATCGAGATTTAAGATTAATTGATTCAAAATATAAAAATTGAAATGTTTGATTTCAAGATACAAAAATTGTAATATTTGATTTTAAGTAATACTGAGGTGAGATGCATGATTTCATTTATGCTATGTTCCAATAAAATTAGGATTATAACAAATTCTTCATATAGTTAGATAAGAAAATATGCATGTTAAATAATTATATAATGAATTTTCTATAAACTTATTAGATTAGTGAATGTCATTTCAATTATAATATATGTGTGTATATAGATTATTACATGATATGTAAATTCTAGTATATGTACAGATATCAGTTTATTTTATGACCTGTAAATTTAGGAAGAGCACAACAATTCATTAGTTGATAAATATACAATGTCTCATAAGAGAAAAATGTATGTTATAAAGATGAAAGTGTATATATAAATGTTTTTTTATGTATGCTAAGAGGAGTTCAACCCATTATGATATAGGCAGGGGGCATCAATGTACCATGAACGTAAATATTTTTCATACCATCCCAGACAATTATGATATTTAGATCGCTAACAGATATGCCGACAAGAGAGTTAACCAGGAGCGAGTAGACACATTTTCACCTCAGACAATCGTGTAATTTAGATCACGAACTGTAGTGTCGACAGAATAGTATCGATCAGGGGTGTCTTATGTAATGTTCTGACGATGCTCCTAAGATGGATGTGAAAATTTCAAGTATGAAGTATAATAAAGCTAAAAGATTAAACCTTGAAGAGTAGATTTAAAGTAAATATGAAGTTTAAGTTATTCTAATTGACTAAATATATGGACACATACATTAAATTATTATACAATTTTTTATCGTCAAATATGAAAGATCTGCTTGTCTATTTAATTCTTTTAATTGGATTACTGTAATTAGAAGTGTGATTGCTCCACTGAATTATCCTATAAAATTTCTTATATTGACTTAATATTTTTTAACTTTTAAGCTTTTAAATAAGATGAATACTATATGAACTAATTTGTATAAAATGCGAGATCAGCAATCAGGGATCACAAGTATGAGCAACCCAAAAAAGACTTATGTAAAGCAAGCCTAGCACAAAAATGGGTACTTTGTTATAATTTCTATTAGCAAAAAGGAAAAGCATATGTTTAAAGCTATTCAAGAAAGCAAAATCAAAATTCGAGTCCCATTGAAGCTTCCACCGTGAGTTGTATGTACCTTGACTAAGCCAATTGATCACAATAGCATTGCCCCCCTTCAATCATCAATCCTTGGCATTCCGCCATTCAAGGTTAAATATTAGACTTTAGAAGGCGCACGGCATTACACTCAAGTAGAGAGTTGTCCCAATGTTGTAATTGGTGGCCCGTAGCTAAGAGAAGATTCCCACCATCATCACGCATAACAATGCTCATGCCCGCTTAGTTATTAAGAAGAAGAGCTCAATCAATATTAACTAATCAAACCTGGAGGGAGGTACCATTGGGAAAAAGAGAACAGCCCCTCTAATCGAGAATTACCCCGTTGCTCCGGGATTAGATGAGTCGCCGTATTGATAAGCGAAGAGAGAATCGTGGCCACCAAAATCATTGGAGTTCCATGAGGTCCATTGTGTTTCTAGGCATTATGTGCCCGTCTGCTTTTGTAAATAGTATGGCAGTAAATCTTACCCAAAGGAAGACTAGTTGTAATTGTTCGAGATCAGTAAGGACCTCCTCTTTGGAGCAGAATTCCAGGATCATTAGCCCCTATTTTTGCAAGTTACCAATAATTTCCCATAGGACTTTACAAGTAGCCATAACGTGTGAGTGGTCTTCAATCTCCTCGCATCCCCAAGGGCATAAAGGATCATCCTCTAGCAAGAAGCCGACTGTTCGTAGTTAAAGCATTGTGGAGCAGATGCCACCAAAAAATCTGCTCCCGACGGTGGAGCTTAAACTTCTTTATCCAATTACACTGTGTTTTGTGCTCCTGAAACAGCTTGCCATAAGCCAAGGCTGTTATGGTCTTATCCAAGAGGGCCGGAAAAAGCTCAATTTGGTCTCCGTGGGAGGCTGCTACATGCGAAAAATTGTGTCGAGCTGAGCATGGCCAAAGCATTCCTCCATCCGTTCGGAAATCAGCCTTCCACTGTCAAGAACATCCGCCACCAGAGGGTTTTCATCCATGTTAACATTGATGTAAGCAGCCCATCATGAGATGGCCAAATCAAAAATCGAGGTGCAGTAAAGTATGCTGATTCGTGTGCCATCTCCCACAGCCCATCTAGTAATGGTTTGAAGGCTTTGAGCCCCACCAACCCAAATTTTCCAAGCTATAGAATTAGTCTGTTTCCCCCTGGTGGCCCATGGTTTGACCCCATAGTTTTCGGCAATGCATTTATAAGGCAGCAGCTAGGGAGAATTAACAAACTGTCATGCCAATCATGCACGGAAGGAGGCCTTCCAAAGAACAAAAGCATGGAATCCCATGCCCCCAGCAGTTTTTCGGTTTGCACAATTTGCCCCAGGAAATGTAGTGGACACCTTTATGGTTACGGTACGGTCCGTATTCCATAAGAAGTTTCTGCAGAGTCACTCCAGCTCATTGCAAATGCTCCTGGGCAGCTTGGTATGGGAGAGGAGGAAGGTGGGCAAGTCGAGAAGAGATGAATTGACGAGCTTAATTCAGCCCGCTACTGATAGATGGCAGTTTCCCTTTCCTCAGAGTTTATGGACAATATTTTGAAGAATTTTGGTAAAGTCCGGTTTTATTAGCTGTCGCATTGGGAGTTTAATAGCCAAGTATTCCAGCTCGTCAACCTCTTTGAAATCCAGCTTCCGAGCTATTTGGTTTTTTTTTCCAATTCAAACCTTCTAGCTATTGATGAGGGTGACAGCTATTATGGGCGGTTAGAACGGCGGGGCAGTAGTAATAGCAGATGGTAGTTCTGGCTGAGAAGGATTGAACAGAAATGGACGGCGAGGCCTTTCTGTCCTGGTGGCAGGAGCATGCAGGGAAGGGACTGGGGGTCGGCTGGAAGGCAGGGAAAGGAGGGTATGACACCAACTGGCTGTTTTCTGGGGGAAGGCGATGAGGATACAGTGAACTGAATGCAGGGACGGCAATGTAGAAAGGTGTGGGAAAGGATAAGAGTGGCTGGAAAGGCTGTGGTGCCAGAAACAGCAAGGGGGAGAGCTGGCGGCTGGTTTGGCAGGAAGACAGCAAGGATTAGGGGAGGGATGGTGGCTGGAAAGAGGAAAACTGCAAGAAAATGCAGCTCTCTTAGGCAGTTATAGCAAAGGAAGGGGAGGCCAGGAGCGATGTGGGAAGAATGCGGAAATGGATAAGGAAGATGATCACCATCTCAGGAGCGAGATAAAGCTGGAGCACCAGTCTAACCCTCAGATACATCCAAAGACGGGAAATGAAGACACTGGTGGCTATCTCGGACAAACCCACGCAAAAACCTTGCCCTAATATATCAAAAAAGAAAATATAAAATAATAGGATAAATAGGAGTAGGCCTAAGGGACCGGCCAACACACCACCTCACCCAGGACAGGTTTCGTCCAAGCAAGCATGCGTAGCGCCTGCTCTTCAGTCGTGGGAAATCTTGTGTGCAGAATGCGATCCGACGTCGGCCTTTTGGTGCCCTGCATCACGAGTTTCTCCAACATTCTTCGTTTTTTAAATTAACTTCTTTCTATTGAGTAAAATATCAATTATATGATTGGCTTTTATGATTATTTTTTATTGTCCATATTTCTAATGGAAGGCCAAAAATCTTTTGTTCGGGTGCTAGACTAAAGAACATCCTTCATCCCAAGCATAGCAGGTTGAACTATTTTGCCTAGACTTGGTTTGCAATAAAATAAGCCACTTACAGCAGAAGAAGAATCACTGGTTAGACCAGGCACCACAATAACAATTGGAGTACTCTCATCTTTAGAGATTATAATGTCATTGTCCAAAGAACCACCTGCAACTGTACAAGTTTGATGAATTAGCCTGTGCTCCCTAACGTTTTGCATAATTTTAGTGAAAATAATAAGAATTTATAGCCATGACATACTTTCAAAAACCTTAAACTTAATTTTATGACTGTCATATTAATTTAACATGTTAAATGGAATTTAAGAAGTATAGAAAGTGTTGAAGAAAGAAATAAAAAGTAATTCGGCACATGAAGAGTCTGGTATTACAATATGATAGAAATCGAAGCAAAGAATAAAAGAAAATGATCAGACAGTATTAATCGTTCTCAATCAGAGAAACTAAGATCCAGAAAAGACTAAGACTAGCCAAAAACCTAATCCTAATTGTTGAAAACAGGTTGAACCATGTGCACTTCAAAACTGCTGCGAATTCAGCAATTTCAAAATGAAATCAAACTTAATTAATTTCAAACAAAAAAAGTCATTAACACGGGCCTCTTTTTGCAGGATGCAGATCGCATCGTTCCGCGAAAGCAGAACTCTTGAAAGCGGGAGCCCTTATTAAGCTATTCATTAGAGCTACTTTTGCTTGGAGAAATTTAAATATGTTGTTGTTAGCTGTTTAGACAATTTTTGGCTTTTGTTTTATACATTTGGAGAATATGTTCTCTGATTTTCTGCGCCAAGGAATGTTATATCCTCTTCCTTTTGCAAGGGTGAGTCTCTAGCTTGTTCAGAAAATGGTGATGGATCTCCCTTGGCAGTTGTGCCACACCAAAAGAGCCGTTTCATCATTCTACCTGCTATTTTCAGTTCAGACAGCTGCCAAATTTCTTTAACACTCTTCCACGCTCCTCAATTTCCCATATTCCCTTCCTCTTGTCATTTTACAACCCCTCTCCACTATACACAATCCATAAGCACCTTCTAGGAAACCTAAAAGGGTGTTAGCCATGCCACTATCAAGATCACATTGAAAAATGTTACCTTAATGGCAGGTTATAGTATCAAGTAGATTGATCTAAATGAGAGAAATTGAATGATGCCAATGGTCTTAGGATGTCAAACTTTCTAACGCAAATCTAACATCAAAAGTAAAAAATCATGCAAGATTCACAGTTCATTAACATCAATTCAAGCAAGTATTCATATTTTTTTGATGAAAATAGAAAAATACACACCAAACAATAATTTGGTAGTCTCTCAATCAGAAATGTCCCATAGAAAAATATAGGATAGGTTAAACTCCAAAATACTTCTCCGACCATTTGCATGTGGTAAATTTGATCCCAGAATGTTACATTTCTCCAGTTTAGTTCATCAACTACACAAAATTGATCCAAATATAGTCACTCTAAGACTAAATTGTGATCAGTTTTGTATAACTGTGGGATTAAATTGAGATCTAGTTTTTATCATAACTTTACATGAGGGATCTGTGTGAATCAATTTTGTATGCTCTAGCACTAAACTAACCACATAATAATAGTCTATGAATTATTTGAGATTTGATTTAATTATTGTAAATGTAAATTAAACGGAGATTGAAAATCACATCGTAAATAAAAATCAAAAATCACATTGTATGAAATTGGGACATATCCAATCACATATGCAAACTAAGCAAAAAAAAAACATAGTTGAAAGGATAACAAAAAAGAATTCGTCAAATAAGATATTAAAACCTCATGTCAAAGCAAGAAAAAGGCTTTTCCAAGAAGTTGTCAATCAAAATTGTACTGCACTAAATAAAATCACATACAATTAACAATGGCTTCAAGAGCAAAACAAGAATTTCATCAAGTAATTGATTGTCATTTATGAACATATAGATATGATACTTCTAACCACAAAACCCACAGCAAGCAGGCTTTAAAAATCCGAAAATAAATTGTAGTGCCAAAATAAAAATCAGTAAATTTATGAATCCCATAATTAACTACAGTGCCACCTTGGAAATTGCTTTTCTAGGCTCCACTAGATGAATATAGCAATAGTTAACCATTCACAAGTCATAAAATCAAGTGATCAAAGCCTCTGGCTATAGTAGATTCATAAAACCTAAGAAAAAAAAAACAATAGCTCCAAGTCAGCTCCAGAAATAAGTGATTTCAGACAACCAAAATCAATAATTCCAACAACAGCGTCAGAGTTGCATGTCCGAATTCCAAACACCGAAATGAATCAATGGCTCATATCAATAATGAAACAACAGTAATACAAGAGAAAAACAGAACCCAAGGCATAGCCATAACACCAAATTGTCAGGGAAAACTAAACACGTCCAAGCAGAACTCCAACATCTGTAACACCACGATTTTCACGTCAAAACAATGAAGCACACATTTTATGCAGAGGAAAGGTGGTCTGTATGTCATAACTGAAGTTTAGGTGTTAGTGAAGTTAATGCATAAGAATTGGGCGGTATGCATGTATATTTCCCGTGTTTTTTTTTTTTTTTTTTTTTTTTTTTTTGGGGCAACACGAAATTCATATGTATTTACCAATCTCACATCAAAACTTGATATTTTCTTGAATATCATTTTACCTGTGCGTGAAAAGATGGATTTGATTCAATGACTTGTGAACCTTGATAACTAGTGGTTGTTTTAATAAATTTGATGTGGGGAAAGAATTGAGTGGTATGTTGGTATATGTGACGAGAAATTATGGCTATGACCCTAAGTTTTAATGTTAAAATCTTGAAATCATTCTTAAATAATTAATGTAGGCATTAGCTCTAAGCCTATAACCTTTGAATAAATAGCACAAACCATTTGCTACATAGATTAATTAAATGGCACATTTACATACATACTACCGAATCCCTATGCATTTAGTAGATTTGGGTATAAGATATGTAAATAAAACATGTGTTATGTATGTAAATGCCCCATTATCCATTTATATATATATATATATATATGTGGGCTCGCGCACCGAGGGTAACAAGTTGGTAGGCAGCTGAGGCGTGAGTCCCCTCTGACCAGGTTCGACTCCTACGGGAACGAATAGCACATAAGAGGGTGGTATTTCCAAATACAACCCTTATATAATATATATATATATATATTACTGCAATCACTATAAACTGTTCGGGCACACCCCTGCAAAATGTTTCAAGTTTCACCCATATTTGAGATCGGTAGGTTCTAATAACATCATCCATGCGGAGGAAAATATAGCAAAAACTGTTAATCTTCCAGAAATGTTGAATGAGAATTTGACTCATCAGGCTACTCCTCACTAACCAGATCAACAGCTTTTTCCCACTGTTATTGAAGCAATTCTTCCTCGGATCATAAACACTACAAATTTTGTTGTAGGAGATGCTAGCCAAAGTACATTGGAACCACCTATTGCGAGAGATGAGGGTACTCAAGTCTTGGAGGAGCGCCAGGATCAAGGTGTGTTGCAGGCTGAGTCAGATCAGCAGGTTACGGATCAACATACCCCCCGGGGTGAGCCCTCCATCGAAGATCCACCTATTGATCAGACGGGACTACCTCTGGCAGAGGATTGGCAAGTTTACAAATCTAGGAAGAAGAAAAAATGAATGCTAGACCTCAGTAATTCTCAGGATGATTGTCTCATAGTTTTGGGTGGAAGCCCACATCTCAGTATGCTACCGGACTCTCTCCCTAGATCTTGGGGAAGGGGAAGTGGTAAATCCACCGACTACACCCACCATGATTAGGAATGTTTTTCTTTTTTATATTTTTGGGGGTGTTTTATGTCTTAGTAAGTTGTAATCCTTGTGAGTGAGCTCTTTGTATCCACTCACTAAAACTTTTGTATCCTCCCATTTATTTTAATGAATTTTCCTTCTCAAAAAAAAAAATAAAAAAATAATATATATATATATATATATATATATATATATATGATTTTTATATGTTTATATTTTTTGTAACTGATTAATAGGAAAATAGCTACTACAAATGCCACTAACAATCCCATAGAGGACGAGACAGCCTTATGGGGATATGTCACCAAATTAGAGAACTTGTGATCAATCGGAGCAGAAGAACATAGAATTTTAGTAACAATTTTGTCAAGAAAAACTCAATAAAATATATTCTAGGGTTAAAGCTAGTTGTTTTATACACCAATAACCCTAAGGCATCACAAGAAACTTCTATTCAGCAAATAATGTGAATTTTGGAAGCAACTCCAAAATTTACGAGGACATGTTGTACTTGTTCTTAGAAAAGTTACTTAAAGACCTAACTCGGAGAGAGTTCTTTATGTTGATAACTCCTAACCATAGGGTCAATTACTTACATTATTTCTATGACAACCAGGACACTTGATGCTTGATGCTTTAATTTATTTTTGCTTTATGTTTGCTTTGCATGGGGACAGTATTTGTGCTACATTTGATGTTATTTATATGTGGTTAGAGTTCATTATTATTGTTTGTTGTTTAATGCTTGTTATAGTTAATTCGATGTTATTTGTATGTGGCGGTTCCACAAACTATGAATAGTATGAACAGAGAAAAACGCAGAACAACTACAGTTGCGTTAAGCTTAATGTAGGAGTATTACAACTCATATATTGTTTGCTCTTCTCACATGACATCCACATGCATAGATGATAAGTGGGTTGAGAAGTTGCCCGCGGGGCACCGATAAGATTTAACAATATGTTCCGTATGACACAACTCATATTCATCAATTTGTTAGAAAAAGTGCACAGAAATCATGGACTTCATGACTCCTTAAGGATAACTTCCAAGAATATTTAGCCATAACCCTCTACATCTTATCACAAAATGAATATATGAGAGGATTCATGGAGTGATTTCAGCACTCATCAAAAACAATCAATAGTTATTTTGTAATTGAGCTTAATGCTCTGATCAACTTATCATCACAAATTATAAAACCTGACGGCCGCACATTCCAAAGGACCCCCATAGAGATTTCACGGGACCAACGATATATGCCAAATTTTAGGGTAAATGCACGCGTTCATAATTTTAGGAATTTACTTGAACACAATAATTTAAACACCTTTGATACATTCTCTAGGATTGCATTAGAGC